TCTGACTTCCTTTTCTATAAGGAATATTGAAAGTTGGCAATATTGTTCTGGATTTAGATTTCTTTTATCTATATGCAATGTGAGCACTAATTAATTTTATTTACAGGCTTGTTTTAAAAACTTATCCATGGTGACAGGTATCCACAATTTCAGGTAAATTCTTCTTCCCGCCAGTTTTCAATGTTACTCAATTGTCAGGTAGACACAAGCAAAATAAAGCATGGGCAATTATTAGCTTAGAAAAGAGAGAACCCTTCTCTTTTCCTACAGGTAAGCCATGATAACATTGAAATTCCAGATATAAATAAAGTCAAAGGACATGAAAAGAAATGGAATTATAGACTCTTCCCAACATAGCTTTCTCAGTAGACTTTCTTATTAGATGGATTCTTCCACTTTAAGTTTCTAACTATTTATAGAACCATTAACAAACAAACAGAAGAGCTGTTCCTCTCATTAAAGTCTCAAACTTGAATCTTTTCTGTACATTAGATTAGGAATAAGAAGATTTTTTTGTCTAGGTCCTATTTCTCCATTACAAAATCACTGGTGTAAAACAAAAAACTCATTTTTTATATATTTGATAAGGAGTAAAATACATTTTTTCCAGGTCCTAAATCTCCATCAAGAACACAGTGATGTAGCCCTGGCCAGTACGGCTCAATTGGCCAAGTAACAACCCATGCACCAAAAGGTGGCCAGTTTTGATTCCCAGTCACGGAACATGCCCAGGTTGCAGATTTGACCCTGGTTAGGGAGCTGCAGTAGGCAACCTATCGATGTCTCTCTCTCTCTCGCTGTCTCTCTAATCGACAAAAACATGTTAAAAAAAAAGGAACATATTGCTGTAAAACCAGGTTGGAGAACATTCGGCTTTTAGTATAAGGCCTGCTAAATCATTTGGTCTGCCCTGCCAAGGCATTAGGAGTTAATAAGTAAATGTATGACCAAATATAGTAGGCTGATTTTTTAGCTAATAATCTTGTATGACCCACAAATTATGTTATAAATGTCCAAATGGATATTTGGCAGAAAAAAAGTTTCCCCAGCCCTGATGTAAAACAATCAAGTTATCCTTGGTCTTAAACATTTCCCTAATAAAAGGGGGGGGAGGCTGGATGAAAAAGGGGAAAGGACAAGTACAGATTGCAGTGACAAAACAGTCACAGGGATATAAAGTACACCATAGAGAAGATAATAATACTTTAATAATTATGTATAATATTTTTAAGAAACTATGTATAATTACTTTTTAAAAAAATAATACCTGTGGTCAACTTAAAAAGATTATTTCTCTGTAACAGGAAAACACAAAGAACAGGGGCAATTATACTATCAAAGAACGTATTTCACTTCTAAGAACTAAAACTGAAGAATGATGAGTCCTTAAGTCCACAAGAACAAAGTTTACTAGTTGCTAGAATATTGTTTTGATCTTTTTTATTGTTTAAGACATTTTAAATAAATATAATCCTACTTCCAATTTTTTCATTAAAATGGTATGTCACTGCTGAAATATACAGAACTTTTTCCAGATAAATTCCAAGGATCTTTAGGAAACCTGTACCATAGAATTAAGTGTGACAGACCCACCACGGGAAATTCAATTTAACACGTAGTTTAGCATTTCCCCTATAGAAAAGCCTTATACCTAGCAAAGTTAGAATGTAAGAAGACATTCCTCAGGCATACACAATACATAACACTAGGCTGCATTCTTCACAGCTTCTAGTAGAACCAGCAGGCTTCTATTTTGGCCAACGGTGATAGAGTGGTGGGTGTATGACAAATACAAATGGTCTCTGATACCAGCAGTGACTATTTTAATGGACACTGTTTTCACATTCACTTATTCCAAAAAATGGCAAGAAAATTACTCTGATGAAAACAATAATTAAATTCTTTGTTATTCACATATTTCTTAGTCCCAGTATACATGATCTTGGTTTCTATTTAATTTGAATGAAAGCTAGGCAGGCAGTAATTTCAAAAGAGCTTCCTTTTCTATAAGCTCAAAACTGGAAATCTTAAATTTTTATAAAAACTTTCTAAGAAATAGAAAACAGTGATTTACAGAAATAAAATCCTGATAAACTTAAGAATTAGAAGACATTCAGGCATCATGGGCTGAATCAAGCCCAAAGTTGAACAATTATGGTAAGTATTTACTACAATCTAATGCAAGTCCATTATGACCAAAGTGCTTAGCATGAATCAAGGTAAATGTTCCTTTGTTGACCCAAAAGCACTGAAGTGATTAGGGATTAAACATTATACGAATAATAGTCATTTGGTTTCTGGAGGATTTAAAAAATAATAATACATCTGATATACTAGGGAAACAGGACAAGACACTTTCACTAAGTTGAAATTACAAAAAAAAAAAAAAGAAAACAACCATCCCTCAGTACACAAAACATAAAACATTTGCTCACAGAGACATAGATAACATTTTCCCAATATTATCAAGAAAAATTATGCTTACTATAAAAATACTTCTTTGTCCTGAATTAATTTGTATAATTCTATAATAGGGGAATAGCATATGGATATGTAAGTTAATAAGTAAATATAATGACTATAAAATCAACTTTGTTCATTGTTTCACTATATATTATATATACCAAATGAAATAAAATGTAAACTAAAGAACACTTTTTTTCATTCTCAGACTATAAATTATCACTTCCGTGATAAATCATAAATGTTCCTTATAATAGCAGTCCAAACTATATGATTTTGGAATAGAACAACAAATTCATATTGCTTCAAATTATATGTTTATTATTTTAAAATTTTGACAAAAATACTTTTAAAATGCTAAATAAATATGAATTTTGACTAGCTATTAGGTGTTTCTTTCTTCCTTTTTCTTTCTTTCTTTTCTTTCTTCCTTTTTTTTTCACAATGGCATTACATAACAAACCAAAACATATACAAAGAACATTAAAAATAGCATTTTGCTAACAAACAGAAACTTAAAATAAGATAAAACTAGGTAACATTAACAAAAACTTTAAGTCTAATTAAATCTTAAAACTATATTACAAAACTACAAAATATACAAACAAAATATATAGTATGCCCTACTTTGGATGTATAATACATTTTTCTGTGCTTAAATAATGCGATTATTTTGCCTTTTGAAACTGTGTAGAGAAAAACATTTTGAAAAGAAAAAATATTTTAACTTGCTACGAATGAGCATATGGGTATTATGCTAGCAGTCACACAAAACATGTTACTGAAACATTTCAAATAAGATTAACATATTAATTTTAACATTTGAGATCTGACTAATTTACATCATCATCATCATCATCATCTCTACTGCTACTGTGAGTCATAATCCATTCCCTGTAGACCTGAATTTTCTGTAAGCATGGTAAAGGAAAAAAAGAAGCACAATGGTTAGCGAAGTATGACAAATTCCTTGAAGACATGCAAACTTATGAAATGTTCAAGGAGTCAAAATAATTTTGAAGCAGACACCAGCTCTGAATAGGGCAATAATTATGGATATAATATTCCATATCTTAATAGACTAAGACTAAACTCTACTGGTTGCTATGTTTAAAATCATTTGGTGATACCAATAAGGTAGTCTGGGGATACATTAGAATTATTCTATTTCTCTAATAGAATTATTCTATTTTTCTCTTCAACTTACTACTAGGAAGTACTATGATAATGTACTACTTTCCAGATAGGTACATAACGAAAGTGGCTTTTTTATATTTAATTATTATACAGGGGCATACAGAATTTGTGAATACAGAGCAATATTTTTAGAAAATAGAAAATAAGAGAAATATTTGATAGTATTAAACTTTTTCTAAATGCACCAGTTAAATAGATTAAATCTAAGCTGATGAGATTTTAAATCCTGTTTCTATGACATCCAGTTCTTTACCACAGTATTCATATATTTTAAAGTGTTAGCTAATCATACAGTAGAGTTTTTATTCAAAGAAGCACTATTACCATCAAAGCAATAACCCAGTTCTTACACCTATTAAGAGAATAATGCTAAATGCAAACATCCTAAGGCATCTGGTGAATTCCTATAGGTATTCCAGTTATACTGTTTACTGTTCTTGCTGAAAAACAAGTAATGGCTGACAAGGATTGTGAGCTTTTAGACCTTTAAATAGCTCTTTTGGCAATTAATGGTAAGACTGGCCTACTAAAAATAATATATATATTAAAAAATATAGTCAAAAGTAATGACCTTTAAATCCCAAGGTTTAAAGCTTTATATAAACAAGGAAGGCATAGAATAAATTTACTTGTCAGTGAAATCAAGTTATCAATCACAAGAAACGTTTGGTATCTCATGGCTTTCTTATGTATTATAATCTGTTTTCTAATAATGACAATGCATTTCTAAACTCCTTACCATTCATCTTTATTTCCTATTAAGTTTATTAAAATAGTGTCTCAAATATTTTTAGTTTTTAAAGATGATTTGATAACCATTCAGTCTACTAAAATGTTAGTAACGTGTTAATTGTGTTCTAGAAAGAGAAGGTAGGTACTGAGTAGAAATATATGTTTCAAATGTATGAACCAGAGGTTTGTTCTGTAACATTTCCAACTTGCTGGATTTCCATCCAACATTTCTTCCAAAGAAGGCTAACTGACACTGCAGAGACCGTACAAAATGCCCCTGAGAGCAGTCTCTCACTCGATTGCCAGTTCCATCCCAATATGGTATTATTTTGATGCTTTAAAAACATTTTAAACACAATGTAAAATCACTTTACTAAATATCACACATTAATTCAATGGTTATGTTTTACTACATTAGATGAAAGCACATTTTATGCAAAAATTACATACTCTTTATGTAGTGAGAAAAATACTGAAGCTTTAAATCTTACCCTAATCACTTTAAACTTGGCAATATTTAAAATTTCAAGGCTTTATAAAGGAAGAGACATAGTCCCACATTTCATTATTACCTTCAATATTTGCAAGTCTATACAACATAATGACTCTGTTTTCAAAAATAATTTATTTTAGTATTCCACATCTAACCCACACAAACTACTTTAAATTGGTATAATTTTATGGTATATATTACCTACACTACAATCCAGATTTTTAAGAAGTTCAACTTACTAGCAAGAAAATTATCTAACAGATAAAATATTCTACCTCCAAACTGCCTATGTTCCAAAGCTACTTTCCTTTACTAAAAGATATTGGCTTTCTTATGAACTGTTTATCAAATTCCAAAAGATTTTAAAAGGATGATACAAGCAGAAAGCAAAAAGAGGGTTTTGGCCACTTGAGCATCTATAAAAGAAAAGCACAAGAACCTAAGAATTCGAATAGCAATGTTCCTGATTTTTTCCCTACCCATTCCTAGTTGGACATGAGAATTATATCCAGTATAAAAGCACCTGTTGGTTTGATAAAGAGAAGGAAGTACCCTAAACAGAAAGGGTTTCATTAGCTAAAAAGTACCACCAACTATGAGGGTATATAGGCACAATGGTTTTCAATAAATCTAGCAAATCCAGCACAGACCTAGAATACCCTATAAAAAGATCAGATTCACTAAAAATCCTATACAAAAGTTACCAATACAAAAGCTTTTCTTTGTTTTCAAAACACTGAAACAGCTGTACGCAGTTTGTAAATTTTAAGACTAAAATCTACTGCTGGCTTTCAGTTGCAAAGTCATGCATTAACTGTTTTCATATCAAACTTTTTGATGCCTGTAAAAAAGAAAAAAAATCTTATAGTAAATAAATGTACAATAAAACCTAGGTAAAATAAGGAACTTATAAATGGAATTAAGCAAAACATAGAAGTTCAAATAATCTAACATATGTTTAAAGCTACTTTCAATAAAGCTAAATTAATCTTAACTTGTAAGATATTTCTTCACCCACCTGCAACATCTGATTTCCAGTACCATCCCTCAACCTGTAAGGTCTGATAACTCCATCTTCATTAAAGAACCGAGGGGGCCGCAGACTCTCCACTTCATCAGAAGTCTCTGTAGCCCTAGAGGAAAAAAATATAACTTGATTTTTAAAAATATTCAAAAATTGTCCTTGGCTGGTGTGCTCAGTGGTTACACCACCAAAACATTGTGGATTCGATTCCTAATCAAGGACACAGACATGGGTCTGGATCCTTGGCCCCAGTTGGGGCACTTGGAAGAGGCAACCAATGGATGTGTTTCTCTCACACTGATGTTTCTCCTCCCTTCTCTCCCACCTCTCTTCCACTCTCTCTAAAAATAATGGGAAAATATCCTCAGGTGAGGATTAAAAAATTTTTTTCTTTTTCCAAAAATTCATCATTTTTAAAATGGAGTTACTAAAAAGAATCTTCTTTTGGACAAAATAAGACTATGATACTTCTCTTTTAAAATTTATCTTTATGACACTAATAATGCAAGTTCTCTAGAAAAATGTAGTACTATGAATAAGTTTGCTTATAGCATCTTTTGGACTTTCTTTGTAGATCAATCAGCAAATGATGAGTATTGCTATTTCTTTTCCATTTTAAGACTTTTAAATTCTTTTTCTTTTCCTATTATACTACCTAGTTCCTCCAGTACAATGCTAAATATAAGAGAGGATTTCAGGCATCCTTTCTCATTCCTAAAAGAAAAAGGAAAGCTCATAAGAGTTCTCTATGAATTACAGATATTAGCAACATTTTTGTTCTGTAAGAATTTTTCTTCTTGGACTTGATATGTGTTATTTGAAACACATATATGCTTGCTGATTTTGATACTGTAATATTTTCTTTAACATTTTGACTGTATGAACCTACTTGAGAATGGTCCATGAATTGTTCATTCATTCAGCAAATATTCACATTCATAAAAAATTAATTTATTATATAAACATACCTTACCACATAATGTGTCTACATGTATAGACACACACATATATATGGATAGTATCTCCAATTAAAAGCAGAGATTGACAGAATGGATAAAAGTATAATCCAAATACACACACACACACACACACACACGGTTCATAAGAGAATTTCTTTAGAGTTAAGGACACAAATAAATTGAAAGTAAAAGGATGTAAAAAGATATAGTACATAAACAGTAACCAAAAGAGAGCTGGAATGGTTATACTAAGATTTAGACACAAAGAAGGATATTTTATGAAGAAAGGGTGAATACATCAAAAGGATACAAGAGCTACAAACATATAAGTTCTTAACAAAAGAGCCCCTAAATACACAAAGCAAAAACTGACAGAACTGAAAAGAGAAAAAACAATTCACAATAACACTTATTTTAATATCCAATTTTCAATAGTAGATACCAAATAGAAGGCCATCAAGGAAATAGAAGACTTGTACAAATACTATAACCCACTTGGCCTAACAGACATTTGTAGAACACTCAATCCAATAACAGCAAATTACATATACTTCTTAAGTGCACATGAAACATCCTCCAGGACTGACTATACATCAGGCCATAAAACATGTCTCAGTAAATATAAAGGTACCAAAACATACAAAATATGTTAAGTGACCACACAGAATAAAATTAGAAATCTATAAGAGAATAAAATTTGGAAAATTCACAAACTTGTGGAAATTAAACAACAGCGGCCTAAATAACTAAAGGCTGAAGAAAAAAAAAATCACAAAGGAAAGTAACTACTTTCAGATGAATTAAAACAAACCAAAACTTAATGCGATGCAGTAAAGGCAGTGCTCAGAGGAAAATTTATCGCTGTGAAAGTGAACATTTAAAAAAGGCTCCAACATGGATTATCTAATTTAATACTTGAGGTGCTAGAAAAAGAAAAGCAAACTAAACCTGAGGCTAGCAAGAGGAAAGGAAATAATAAATATTAGGGTAAATGAAATAGAAAAATAATGGAGGGAATTAATGAAGCCAAAAATTGGTTCTTTGATAAAGTCAACAAAAATGACAAAGCATTAGCTGGACTGACAAAGAAAAGAAGAGAGATTTAAAGTGACTGAAGAAATAGACAAGCTGATTAAGTCTATATGAAAAAAAGATATTGAATTAGTAATCAAACAATAAAAGTCAAATCCACATGGCTTCTTTAAAAATTTTATCAAATGTTTAAAGAAAAATGAACACAAATCCTCCACAAACTCTTCCCAAGAAATGAAGAAAACACTTCCTAAATCATTCTATGAGGACAGTTTTACTCTCATACCAAAACCAGACAAAGACATCACAAGAAAACTACAGACCAATGTCTCTTATATCTATCCTATCTAATAAAAGACAAAAAGGGTAATTAGCCATACCTCCGCTATGCTTCCCATTGGCTAATCAGGGCAATATGCAAATTAACGCCCCACCCAGCCTGCTCCTCCTCCCCGTCTCCAAGGCCATGAAACGGACGCCATCCTCCTGATCACCCGC